CAGTTCATGCTGATGCCATCTTTTCAGATTCAAGGTATTTTCAGATTATCTGCTTTTGCTAAACTGCTCTCTGCTCTCCATTTTTTAAACTTACCCTTTTTGTTTCTCAATTTCTTGATGAATTCTTTATAGAATAATGCCAGTTTCATCAGCTCTTTTCCATTTTTTCTCTTTGGTACTGTTTGGATCTTAATTATTTTATTTTTTTGGAATTTCCAACCCTGCTGAACTATTTATAATTTCAAAATTTCCATTCATGAAGACCCTTCCTACTGTTTTTCATTTACTTACTGAAATTGTCTCTCTTGAAAACTAGAATACTAACCTGACTACCTTCAATTCTCACTGCTTGCAATATGTTGAATTCTAAAATTACATAAAATAGCATAGAAAAACAGAGTTGGGAGGGATCTTAGAGGTCTTCTAGTCCAACCCCCTGCTCAGGCAGGAAACCCTATACCAGGGGTGTCAAACTCGCAATGTCATGTGATGTGTCGCAACATATCCTGACTTTTTTTCCATTGCCGGCAATGGGGTGGGTGCAGTTTTGGCATGACGCATTCGGCCCGCAGGCCAGCAGTTTGACACCCCTACCCTAGACCATTTCAGACAAATGGTTGCCCAATCTCTTCTTGCAAACCTCCAGTGATGGAGCATCCACAACTTTTGGAGGCAAGTTGTTCCACTGATTAATTGTTCTCCCTGTCAGGAAATTTCTCGTTAGTTCTAGGTTGCTTCTCTCCTTGATAAGTTTCCATCTGTTACTGTCCTGCCCTCAGGTGCTTTGGAGAACAGGTCGACCCCCTCTTCTCTGTGACAGCCCATCAAATATTGGAAGACGCTCTCAGGCCACCCCAGGCCCTCCTCTTTGTGAGACTAGACATGTGCCTGGGAAAACAGCTGCAGCAATCTGGTGGCATCCCGAGATCCATTTTAAGGTCCTAATTTCATGGCAGCAAAGGTGGTGGAGGAGCCATTTTTCTCACCACCTTTGAACATCTCAGCAGGCAGGTCAGAGGTTCCCTGGGTACAGCAGTAAATCTCTCTAGGAACACAAAACACACATTGTGTGACTCAAGGGGGAGGTGCTGGTAAGTTGCTTTTATTGCAGATGTAAATCAGCTGATGATAAAGATCAGCTACTGCAGAATATACTAATCTCATCCTATGTATGTGTCAGCTCCAGGGCTCCCACCCATGCGTATTTCCTGTTCTTGCAGCCTACATTTTGGATGTGTCTCCAGTTCCGATTGTGGTCTTGATGGCTTCAGCCTTCACCATTAGTGGTGGACCTTTTTCGGGTAGTCGGGAACTGCCTTTATCTAGAGGCAGTTTGGGTGAACCCTTCGTTCATTCTAACTTGAATTCTAGACTGAGCCGCCTTGGGTCACGTTTCAGCCTTTTGAAAAGGGCTTGAGTTTGATTTCTATAGTCAGTGGCATCGGATAATCTTTGGAGGGGCAAGATTTGGGCAGTGGAGCCTTCTGCTCCCAAATCTCTCTACACGGTCAGAGTGAGGGAGGCTCCCAGGAGTTTCTGTGGCTCTTCCTAGAATGGATTGCTCCACACGCTTCAAGGAGAGTGCTGAGGTTGACCTTAAAGAACTGTATTATGCAGATTTGGAATAGTTGGCGGTAAAAGGAAATCAGGCCACCAAAGAACATGGTGACTGGACACCATCAAAGCTGACGCCATACAGAGCCTAGAGAAAAGAAGCAGTGCAGGATTTGGCCCACAGAATCGCCAAGAGTCGGATGCGACTGAATAGATAATATATATATATTTTAATTTGGCTTTTAAATATTTATTGTATAGCTCTGTTTTTATTTACCTGTAAGCCGCCCTGAGTCCCTCGGGAGAAGGGCGGGGTATAAATTAAAGTAATAATAATAATAATAATAATAATAAGCAGCAGCAGCAACAGCAGCAGCAACATTATGCAGATTGCACTGAGCCAGTCCCCAGTGTTATGTTCTTAAGTGGAAGCACATCCAATCCACTTTCCCTCCAAGATGACACAGTCGTCTGCCTAAATTTCAGTCTGCTTTAACGCTTAGTTCTGAGATGGAAATGGCACTATTTGCCCAGGTAATTGTTTTGGTTGGCAACTGGACTGAAGGGTTGTATTCTGCTTGTTTCTGCCAGGCCTCTGAGCCTCTTTTAGCACATACTTATCATGGCGCTGTTCTGGACTGTATGGCCGTGATGTGCACATATGGCCCTGTTTTGTGGCCATTCCAACAGGAAGACTTGACATCTTGGTTGTTGTCCTCTGGCATCTCAGAGTGTTATTTCATCTCCCACATTGTTTAATGGTTACGAAAAACCACTGGAGAGATCGATCTAACTCAGAAAGTTGCTGCTCAGCCTTCAAAGGGACCAGATATAAGAAGTTGCAAATCCCTGTTAGCACCGTTACTGGTAAAGTAAACTTTCAAGTGCTGGTTAGAAAACAGTTTGGGGGATCCATGAGCAGAAGGGCCCCCATTTCCTGCACGTGCTAGATTTTCTGGAGAAACCCTTCTCTGTGCTGTGATGTGTAATTGGTGAGACTCGGAGAAGCCTCTCGTTGCCCACTCTTGCTTGGAATGTCTTCTAGGGTAACCTCCCTGGCCCTGGCCTCATGTCCTTCAGGTAGGAGCCTCCCCGCACAAGTTGTTTGGTCCTTACAACTGACCACAGGCCAACACTTTTATTTATTGAATGTTGATTATAAGCATTACCTTCTTCAATAGGCAGCTGGACTTTCTTATTTTTCTTTGAAGACATTTTGCTTCTCATTCAAGAAGCTTCTTCAGCTCTGACTGGATGGTGGGGAATGGAAGGATTTATATTCCCTGGAACAGCTCTCTCTCAACAGAGGGGGCAGGATACGACATCATCTATCTCCAGTCTACAACACAGTCCTTTCAGCCAGCTGTCGGCAAACTTGAACAATGGGCCCTATCCAACAAAATGAGAAAAACGAAGTTTTACATTTAGGTAGGAAAAATCAAAGGTATAAGTACAGATTGGGCGAGACCTGGCTCAAAACCAGCAACTGCGAGAGGGACCTTGGAGTCCTAGTGGACGATCACTTGACTATGAGCCAGCAGTGTGCAGCAGCAGCCAAAAAAGCTAATACAATCCTGGGTTGTAGAAACAGAGGTGTAGAATCAAGTTCACACGAAGTATTAATACCGCTTTATAAAAACCTAGTAGGACCACACCTGGAATACTGAAATCAATTTTGGTCACCATACTAAGAAAAAGATGTTGAGACCTTGGAAAAAGTTCAGAGAAGAGCAACTAAGATGATCCAAGGCCTGGAGATTAAAACTTACGAAGAACGGCTGCAGGACTTGAGTTTGGCTAGTCTAAAGAAAAGAAGAAATAGGAAATACATGATAGCAATATTCCAGTATTTGAGGGGCTGCCACAAATAAGAGGGGGTCACGTTATTCTCCAAAGCACCAGAGGGCAGGACAAGAAACAATGGTTGGAAACTGACCAAAGACAGAAGCAATCTGGAATTAAGGAGAAACTTCCTGACAGAGAGGACAATTAACCAGTGGAACAGCTTGCCTCCAGAAATCGTGGACACTCCATCACTGGAGATTTTTAAGAAGAGGCTAGACAGTCACTTGTCTGAGATGGTATAGGTTCTCCTGCTTGAGCAGGGGGCTGGACTAGAAGACCTCCAAGGTTCTATTCTATTCTCTATTCTCTTCTAAACATTTTAATGTTTACCTGTTAATTACTGTCCCAGGACGTTCTTCTTCTACAGATAGGTCTAAATGGAGAGCGGAGAATGGCCTGCAGTTTCACTTTCGTGCATCTTCTGGCAGCTCCATCCGCAGCAGGGAGGCCAGCGAGGATCGCTTCCCTGGGGGCTGAGCTGCCTGTCTCTTGGGAGGCTCCGAGCCCTGGTTGTGGGAAGGCAGCAGCTGCTGCTCCCGTGTGCAGGAGGGGCAAACACTGCAGCTGCTGGAGGAAGCAGCCTCGACAAAGGCCTCCTTGGGCCACCTGCTGCTAGGGGCCCCTCTGGCCACCCGCGGCCTCTTCCCGCCAGCAGAGAGGCAGGAGGGGAGCCGGCTGGGACACGCTCAGCTCAGACCGAAAATGCCGCAGGGGGAAAGATGGGGTCATCTTCCTCCTGGCGGCACAGCCCACTGGGGGACGCCCAGCTGCCCTTCCCCAGGATGGCCCTCCGCTAATGCCCCCCCTGGGAAGACGGGCCTCAAGACCCCCAGTGGGGAGGCAGGGAAGGCGTCCTCGAGGGGGCTGGTGGGGGGGGGCGGTCCAGCTAACCCATCAGCCCCTGGGATCCAGCTCCCCCCCCCCGCTCAAGGTGGCTCAAGGGAAGGGGAGCCGCTGAAGGGAGGGCAAGCGGGGCTCCTGCTGCCTTCCAGCTCTGGCCGGGAGGACGCCGCCTCAGCCCAGGCAGCTCTTCTCCGGGGAGGTCGCGGGGGACGAGCCGAGGGGCCCTTCCCCTTGAGGGCTTCTGGGCCTTGGGGGGGGGGCGAGGGGGCAACTTTTACCAACGGCACCTGCGCATACAAGAACCGCGAAGGCGAAACCGGAGGGGCCGCCCTGCCCTCCCTGGCCGTCGTAGAGGAGGCGAAGGCCCGACTGACCCCGCTGCTCCCGCGCTCCTGGCGGCTCCCGAAGCGCAGCGCTTCGCGGGCGGCAGGCAGCGCCGGAGGGCAGCCGCCGCCGCCGCCGCCGCCCCGCCAGAGCCGGCGCCCCTCCTGCATCCCCCCCGGGAGGCCTCGAACTTCTCCCATTGGGCGCAGGGCGGGGCAGCTCCGCCCTCCCCGCCCGCCGCCTCTTTTTTACAACTCATGTGCCGCTTCCCTCCTCACTGTCGGCCGAGGCGCGCTCGGGGCATCCCGGCGCGGCCGCCGCCTGACTTGTTTCCCGCCGCCCGCGCGCCCGGGCCGCCGGCCTTCCCGCGCAGCCCCGGCCTCCCGGTCCCTCCTCCCGGCCGGCCGGCCTCCCGGCCTCCCGCCCTGCCCCGCATGGAGCTGGGCTGGGCGTGCAGCCTCTCGGTGTGGCTGCTCTTCCTGGGCAGCCTGGCGGTGCGGCTCCTGCGCTCGGACCTGTTGCTGAGCCGGCTGCTGCTGCTGCGGGTGGGGCAGCTGGCCGTCCTGCAGGCGCTGGGCCAGGCCGTCCTGCCGCTGCCCCTCAGCGCCGCCCTCACGGGGGCCGCCTGCTTGCTCGTCTCGGCCGGCACCGCCCGGCGGAAGCGGATCCCCGCGGGGGGGAAGGCGGTGGTGGTGACAGGTGAGTCCGGCGGGCGCGAGCCCTCCCCTCGGGCCAAGAGCCGACGGGCAGCGCCGCCTTCGCGGGGGGAGAGCCGCCCGGCGCTCTCTGGTCTGGGGCCGGAGTCGCTCCCGCCGAGCCCGTGGCCCGGAGCCGCGCCGGAGAGAGCTCGGCTGCGCGGGGCGGCTTCGTCTGCTCCCAAGCGGCGGCCCGGCCCGGGCGGGGTCCTGGAGAGCGAAGGGCCCCGGGCCCTCTCCATCCTCCCCGCTCGGGGCCGGCCGCATCAGGACCGAGCCTGCTCTCCGCGCTCTGCGGAACGAGATGCTGGCGCCGGCAAGGCGCGCTCGTTGCCCAGAAACGCGCACTTAACGTCCCGCGGTCCAGAACGGGCCCCTCCGCCGCGGGGGACCGAGCGGGGCGGCGAGAGCAGCTGGGGCGGCAGGCAAAACGCTCCCGGATTCAGCGGCCCGGCGGGGGCTGCCCCGGACGCGGCCCTCCGCCCCGGCTCCCTCCCGGCCGTCCCGAGCCTCCTCCTGGAGGACGGCGGCGGCGACGAGGCCAGAGGTCAGCGTCCCCCCGACGGCCCGGACGCGCGCAGAGGGCCTGGCGGGCGGGCGGGCGGGGGCCGAGGGGGGCTCGCCCCATCAGGTCGGCTCAGGCGCCGGCGGCAGCCGAGAGTTGCCGGTGGAAGCCGGATCCTACGCGGCTCCTTCGGGAAAAGAGGCCAGGCGGGAAGAACGCGGGGCCGAGAGCGGGGAGCGGCGCGCAGCCCTGATGCCGGTTCCATAAGGCCCCGCAAGCCGGCCGGAAGGTCGGAGGAGGCGCAGGGCCCGGGCAGCCACGTGGGCAGATGCCGGCTGGAGGAGCCCCCTGGCAGGCTGAGCCCCAGGGAGTTCAAAGGGGGATCTGGCTATTCAATTAGATGCGAGAAAGGCTGTCTGGGTGGAACCCCCCCTCCCGTGGAGGGGCTGGCTTGCCTCCGCCTGCGAGGACCCACAGCCTTGGATGGAAGGGACCAGGGGGCGCCCAGGGTCAGCCTTGGCTTGGTGCAGCCTTTTTCTCCCTGCCCGCCCGGGGACAGGGCCACTCTTGCCCCTTCTGTGCTCCCTCAGATGAGCCCCTCCTCCAGGAAACCCGTCTGAAAGAGAAAAGGCACCACTTGAGTAAGGACACCTGCTTTCTCCCGAAGAAGGATAGAATCAAGATTACATGAAGTTGTATTGCTTTATAACTTATGGGTAAGATCATACTTGGAATATTGCATCCAGTTCTGGTCACCACAATGAGACTCTAGAAAGAGTACAGAAAAGAGCAACAAAGACGATCAGGGGACTGGAGGCTAAAACATCAGGAACGGTTGCTGGAATTGGGTATGTCTAGTTTGAGGAAGAGAAGGACGAGGGGGGACAGGATAGCAGTGCCCCAATATCTCAGGGGTTGCCACCAAAGAAGAGGGAGTCAAGCTATTCTCCAAAGCACCTGAGGCCAGGACAAGAAGCAACGGATGAAAACTAGTCAAGGAGAGAAGCAACCTAGAATTAAGGAGAAATTTCCTGACAGACAGAACAATTAATCAGTGGAACGACTTGCCTCCAGAAGTTGTGGATGCTCCAACACTGGAGGTTTGTAAGGAGAGATTAGACAACCATTTGTTTGAAATGGTATAGGGTTTCCTGCCTGAGAAGGAGGTTGGACTAGAAGACCTCCAAAGTCCCTTCCAATTCTGTTATTCTGTTATTCTGTGCTATTATTCTGCATTTAGAGTGATAATTTTCTGGTGCAAAAACCTTCAAAAGGAAAATAGGGAATGTTTTTCAAGGCAATGCGCTACCAGCCAGCTGTACGTACAACTCTTCCTGTGCTTTCTGATGGGGTCATTTGGGGGTTTTTGAACTCTTAACTCAGAGCAGTGTATTATTCTGGCAGCCTGTAAGCTTGCTTGGGTTGAAAGCCTTGGGTCAGCAGCCAGTTGGAGCCACAGGGAGCGTCCAAAGGACACTTCTCTGATGCTGCTTGCAGCCGGGTTCAGGAAAGGCTCCGTCCGCTCAAGCCAGATCAGCTCTCGACTGGGAAAGATGCTTGGAGGGGGCCATTTGCTGCTTTCTGCTTTTTATAGCCCGCTCTGGTTTTCCCATGAGAAAAGAGAGTTGAACACTAATTAGACACATCTGGCCTTGTGGTGCATTAGCTGCTTCTGGTTCACTCCGTTGAACAGCTTGTTCCCAGGTCAAAGGACACAGGCTCCAAAAATGCCGAAGTGCTATTGCAGATCTTTTCAGTGATTCTGGCAAGTTCTTTGTCTCCAAGAAGACAAGTTTAGAATAGCTTCTGGCCAACTGGGGGGGGGGGCATTTGCTTGGGGCTGCTCCTCCTGCTGTACTGCTCTAGGTCCTAATGCCTGCCAGTGATTGGAGCGCATTTGGTTTTGATTAAGAATAGAAACCTGCATAACTCAGGCTTGCAACCATTAGCTACTCTCTGCTTAGATCAGATTCTAATGGGGGGGGGATAGATTAGATCCCTTTAGTTAATAAAGAAATGATTGGGGTAGTGTAATCTTTTGTGTGTGCTTTGATCTCTCAATTCTTTCACTCTCATCATTCTCTGGACTGTTTTCTTGGTTGGTGCAGTGGGATACAGGGCTATGACAGTTCCAGAAATTCAGCCAAAGAAATTGGGGTCCTGCTTGAAAAAGAATCAATCAAGTAAGTGGATCCTGGATTTGAAAGGAGTCTCAAAGCTCCTGGGAGCCCTGATGAAAGCCTTCCAGACAGAGGCTGTTAGCCTTGCCTGAGGAGCTCCTCTCCTCTCTGGGCCATTAGTTCCCTGCCAAAGGAAGTTTTTCCCAGGGTTCATGCAGAATCGGCCTTCCTGTAAGTTAGGTGCTACTATTCTCTCTCCATTCTGGAGTGAGAGTGAACAGGTCCTGACCTCTGGCTTTTCAGATACTTCAACAATGTCACATTTAGTCCCCCTCGGTCATATTTCCTTCTCTTTAGAGGGCTTTCCATGTCCCATGAGAGTTTTCATTGCCTTCCTCTGAGTCCTAATTTCTCCAAATCCACTACGTGACTGGAACAGGACTCAAGATGGGGGGTGACCAAAGCAAAATGCAGGTAGTCCTCAAATTATGACTGGTCATTTAAGGACAGTTCAGAGTTGTGACAGGCCCCCTAAAAGAACTTACAACTTGGATGCGAAGGCCGGGCCCCCTGCCCATGGCCGCAAGATCGCATTTTGATGCTTGGCATCCGGCTCACATTTATGGTGGTTTGTGGCATCCCACGGTCATGTGACCATGATTTACGATGGTTTTTGCTGGAAACTGGCTTTTGCTTCTGGCTTCTAGGCAACAGTGGGTTTGCTGAACAACCACAATGTTGGCTTTACAACTGCAGGATTGGGTCAGTAAGATGACTGACCTGATTTTGCACCCTTTTTGACTGTGCTCATTAAGCAAACACCATGGCTGTTAAGCAAACCAGTTTTCACCAAAATCATAAAATGTGGCCACATGATGCAAAGGGCCGTAAATGTGGCCTGGTTGCTGAGTGCCTAAAATTCGGCCAGGTGACCATAGAGGGAACCCAACCATCAGAAATTCTTATCTGGGTGGCAAGCAGCCCCCCAGGAGATCCGCCGTAACCTTGAAGGGTTGCCAAGTGGCTGGTCTTAATCTAGACTGTTTGTACCTCCTTTTTTCTACATGTTCTTGGGGGAATGTCTACAAATAAGTTTTAAATTTCTCCTTCTTTAGCAACTCCCACCTATCTCAGCTTCCTTTCCTGTTATGAGGGGATCCCCCGATTGTTGTCACCTCGCTGGTTTTGAAGCCAAGAAACGTGTTCTGGCTTTTGATTTCCCTTAAAATTAAAACAAAACCCTCCCGTGCTTAAATATTTTTTATTGGTTGGTATCTAGACAAGGGAAGAACCTCTTTGCCTTCCTCACTCTGGGAAGGAGAACATTTGTCAGGCAGACAAGTCAGCATCAAATCTCCTGGGGAGCTTCCACCACAGGAAAAGATGTGAGGTTAAAAAAAACAAACCAAGATTATTTTTTTGGTGAGATTTTAGTCCCTGAAAAACCTGCAAACTCTTAAGCAGCAGATAGTTTGGAGATGCTGGGGAGGGTGACAGGTCCCAAACGTGCTCCAGACGGAAAGGAGAGGCGGTGGGCCTGGGACTCGATCGACGGGGCCTGCCTGGAGCTGGGGGCCCTTCTGTGATGGAGCTGCCTGGGCAACACAGTCCCAAAGAGAAGGATTAGGGTGACATGATGGCTGTCTTCTAATACTTGAGGGGCTGTCACAAAGAGCCCTGTTCTCCAAAGCATCTGAGGGCAGGTTACAAAATTTCTTCTTAGTTAGATCTAGGTTGGTTCTCTCCTCCAAAGTGGCTTGTTAAAACATGTAACTAAAGGTCCGATAGTTGTCTGACTGCTGAGCCGTTTTGCCAGCCTTCCCTTGTTCCAGAGAAGGGGCGTTCCAAGGCGAGTGCAGGAAAAGCAGGAGTGCCTGTGCCATGGACTGAGGATTCAGCCCTCCCAGAAAGCCCTGCCGCCCTTCTGGTGGGCAGGAAGGGAAGGAGGGCCCGGAAGCAACGGATCCTTTCAGCACCAAGGAGAGCTGCAGGGGGAGAGCGTCTTCCAGCAAAGGGAGAGGGCCGAGGCAAAGCCTTTGGGGATCCCTTCTGGGCACCACATTCCCCACGTAGGATCAAGGTCCATTCTTCTTTGGGGTGGGTCTGTTGAGCAGCAGGTGGTGGAGCAGAGAAGGGAGACGGCCCCTCGGCTGAGCTGAGAAGTTCAGTTCCTTAGATGTGGCTCTCACGGGTTCTTTGCCATATGTGGGGCGACCCCCCCCCCACTCCTCCATCTGTGGCCAGGAGTCCAAATCCCCGAGGCTTTCCTCAGGCAACAACTCGGATGCAGCAGACATTTGTCTGGTGGAAATCTTTTCAGCTCCGAGGCTTCCCTACTCAGTCCCTGACCACTAAATCAGTTAAAGCTGAAGGAGAGAA